AGCTTGCCTACAGGCCTTGGCCGAGTGCCTCTTTTCAGAGGAGCTGGAGGCCATGGAGCGGACATTCAACACCATCACTCTTGCTGGGCTAGTGGCCAAGTCGTTCTTTACTGCCTCGAAATGAGCTGAAGGTTTCCCCGGGAACAGACTTGATGGGGAAGCTTTCCGGCCTCGAAAGGGAGACATGTGCCACAGGTGACAGGGCAGCTTCTGGAGCTTCGAAAAGCGATCAGATCCATGTTCGACCGTGGTTGGACATGTATGAGGCTTCCTGTGGACTTGAGCAGGTGCATATTCTTGTATGGCCCCTCCACTAAATAATGGAAGGGGTGCCTCCCCAGGGCCCTACTTAAGGCAGGGGTCATATTCTTGTTCCAGTATCAGTTCAAGTTTTAGTCCTGGCCTCAAGGCACACGAATGTTGACTCTTGATTGATAAAGCCGCCCCTGACATGAGCTGTATAGTATCTTCATATGAGTGTGTTTGTTAATCAAGAGTCAACATTATCAAGTGTTTAGGTCCTTCTCCATAGAGTTGTCTTCCTTGAATGGCAGCCTGGCTCAGAGTCACACACCTGACGGGCGCGCCGGAATTGACCAGGCGCGACACATGTAGCCAGACATGTGGTGTCCGAGGGCGGCACATGTAGCTAGATGCGATTTTGGTCTGCCCAGCGGGATTGTGCATACACACGCACACATCATGCGGCATTTTTTGAAATGTGGCATAATTGATCATACATCATACATGTTATATACATGTATTTACATGTGTCATTATGTTCCTTCAATACATGGACCTTCCAGTTTCTAGACGGTCTTTTGTGTTCTTTTCCATTTTCTCCATCTACCGTGGGATTGTCGCATTTGCTGTCAAGCTCTGTAGATCTTCAGTTCGAAAGGTAGGGAGGAAGAACAGCAAAAAAGAACACGCTTGGGTGGTGCACCGCTCTGGCTCTCACAAGACCTTGTTGACGACCACAAGACCCATAACACCCATAAGACCCGTCCATAGGCACCAGTGGGCCGGGTTCTGCTCCACATGTCAACCATTTCAACCACTTAGGACTTAGGAAGTGGAGGGGCATTGTGATTTGTCACTTAGAATGCTCATCGGTCCATGCCCACCGCCAGAACCTGGGATGGTTTGAGGGTTGCACCCGATGCAACACAGCGATTGCGAAGACGACATCGGATTCGTGGGCTGGCTTGAAACACCTAGGAGCTCATGCAATCTCAGGCTTGCATTTCTCATACACTCCATGTATGGAATATATGCCTATATTGACCCCCAAACCACCCCAATGTAGGCATATGTAGGCATATATTCCATACATGGAGTGTTTGGGTTAGGCGTTTGGTGAAGAGGCTTTTGGTGCCCGGAAAGCTTCATCGTACGGAAAGACACAGCGAGATACAGTTCCTCCCTTGCCATCGGTGGATCAGTTCATTCCTTTTTCCGTACTTTCCCAGCCATTGCAATCAGGCTCAAGGACGAAGCATTCTCGGCGGTTCTGCTTGATTGAAGAAGGGCACTGATCTTCTGGCCCTCAACGTAAGGGCCAGATACCCTGAGGCAACATCATGGGTTTTCACATGTGTTCACGCTTGGTTTGCTGGAGAATCATCACATCCCAACATCATCGGGATCCATCTTTTCCACGCCATGGGTGCTCAGCTATGTGGAGAAGCACAGGCAAGGACGCCCCATGATGCTGCCAGATTGAAAGAGCTAGCGGCTAAGAGCTCCAAGAGAGTTGCTCGGAACTGCTATGACCAACTATGACCCAAACACTCCAGAAGACGGGCATATGACTCCCAATCGGGCCAGGGGTGCTTTGAGCTGTCAACTGATCGGCATTCAGTCCCATGGAACGTTTGAGGGATTGATCCTTGATGGTTCGATTTGCCCGTTTGGTGGCTTGTACTTATAAGGGATTTACATGGATTTACTAAACCAGCCACTTTCTTCACCCAGCCTTGAGCAGGCCATAGATGTCCTTTTTTGGGGGTGATTGGTTGATTAATAGAGTTGCAGTAGATACTCCCAGTCGTGTACCAGCGGTCCCAGCTCCGGTCGTCGTCGAGACCTGGGATCCAACAGAGGTTGGTCAGGACCGTACATAGGACCCGGTAGCTACCTGGGGGACCCAACTAGGATAGCCGAACTAGGGTTCTGACCCACCTCTGTTGGATGTGAGGGAGAAGAGCAAGGTTCTTGGTGTGTCGATGTCTCTTTTAGTGGCCCGAAAACTGGGAGTGAGGCGCGATTCAGCCAGCCAAGAATCAAATGGGTCGCAGTTTGGGCGGTTGTGGCTCCTGAGTTCACGTTGATGATAAATACCAATTCTAGTTTGGCCATGATGGGTCAATTCAATGTTGCACGGTAATCTGAAACAGTAGCTCACGGCTTTGCTCAAGGTGATTTGCTTATTTCCCTACGGGTCAATATATGTTCCAGGTTCCTCAAGCAAATCCCAGTGGTAATTACTGGGTCGACGTTCAGCTCTTGCTTCAGATCCGCAGCTGCGGATCTGTCCGAATCAGGAGCTCTTGCTTGACCTCCAGAGGTGGGTCAGAACCCGACTGTTCGACTATCCTAGTTGGGTCCCCAGGTTTTCCGGGTCCTAGTGACCTGGTCACTGGCTACCTCTCTTGACCTGGTTTGGCTGATCAGGTGGATGATAGTGGATGGTCTTCTTTCCCTCCCTGCCATCGCCAAGGAGTGGACTGTGGTCCTCAAAAAGCATCCCGGAGCATCTTTGGGAATGGATGTGGCATCTCAGCCGAGCTGGAACTGGAATTATCTAAACGCTCAGCGTTTTTGACGAGAGATTAAGACAATGGTTTTTAGATATGTTATGTGCTTCCGTTTAGCTGGTGCAGGTGGCCTTCTGAACGTGTGCCAATTACATCCAAGCCCCTGAACAACATCTCTGGGCTGTTTGGGTTGCCACACCTTTGGAGACCCTTCAATTGGGATTGAGCGGCCCAAAGCTTTACACCCTTAAATTCAGACATTTTTATGCAGAAGTCCTAGTGACTGTTGTTGTTCATTTGCTGTTTGAAGCCGCGACATTTTTAGGCTGGTTTGTGGACCAGTTTACCTCGAAACAGTTGCAAATGAGATCAAGTGAGGATATGTGTGACGCCTCATCCTTGATCGTCTATGTCGTTTGTGAGACTGGGCTGGTGGCTGATTGGAATCAGGCGAACCCTGCGAAGTCTGTGCAGAAGCCTGGCTGATCTAATTTTGTTTTGTAGGTAGACTGGGGAATAAAACACACGTTGGGCGTTGGGCGGTTGAGATATCATCAACAGTCTGCAAATGAGGGTGGACTTTACACTCTGACTCACTAACATGGAAGCGGAAAACCGCCTGTTTGTAGAGGAGAATAGTCATTCAACAGGCCATTGTCCACTTCCATGTTAGTGAGTCAGAGTGTAGCTATTTTGCCGATCTGATGCGATGTCACGCCCACCCCAAGTCTAGACCGCAGCGACCGCAGCGACGTCCACAGCAGCACTGGTGACCCCCCCAGTGCTCCTGGGGCGGTCGCGTCACTGACCTCGGACCTGATGGAATTCCCAGACGCTCCATGGGACTGCCATATATGCCGATCAGTTGGGGTGGTGCCAGGGGGGTCAATGTAGGCATATATATATATTATGCAAGTGATGCATGTCATACACGTACAACAAGTGCGTGACACGTGAGTTGGGGTTCGAGGGTGAGAAAGCTTTTAGATTCCTGTCGGTCGCGCTGCCACCGCAATTTCGATCCGGCACTTCATCCAGACCTCCATCTAGGGCACGTCGAGGCTACCATTGCTACCACTCGCATGGTAGCGGAGCCTCTTTGAGAGGCTCTTGTGAGAAGAAGATCCAGGTGTCAGGGACCGCATAGCCGCCCCTGAAAAGAGTGGAGAGCAATGGAAAAGGTGACAAAGTCCAAAGATGGCATCCCCCAATGGAATGGTGATGCAAGAAGCTTCCAGGAGTATGAAGAGATGTCTCTATTGTGGGATCAGTCAATCCCATACCACAAGCGCTACTTGAGCGGGCCCAAACTCATCTCCGAACTGTCAGGTTCAGCACGGAAACTCATCGTGGGCAAGCGCCCAGACTGGCTTTCCCATGCTCAAGGTGTGGAGTACCTCATGCAACACCTCCGGAAGAGTTTGGGGCGACCTCAAATCCCCGAGTTGACGGAGCATTTGAACCGTTACTTCCGGGGTAGCAGCCGCAAGAAGGGTGAGACCATGAACGACTACATCACAAGGAAGTCCGAGGTGTATGCAAGGGCCAAACAAGCCCTCATGCGTGTTCAGCAGTACAAGAAAACAAGAAATGGACCCACCACTGCTTCAAGCACATCCAGTCAGTCGAACTGGAGTACGTGGCAGCACTCGCAATGGCAGTCCTGGCAGGACAATGACCAGTACGATCGATGGCATGACTGCCATGAGACGACTTCAACTTCCCACCAAGGAGCCGGACAAGAAGGACCAGATGAAGATCATGATGACCAACAGACCTCACAGGCAATGACGCCAGCAGACCCCTGGGCAGCTTGGCAACGCTATGGACCTCGGGATGAACACGAGGCCTGGGTACATGAAGAAGAACTACTACCCGAATTCCTACAAGCCTGGTATCTGCTGGCTGATGCAGGACTCAATGCACAAGAAAGAAACATGATCCAAACGGCCATTGGTGAAACCTATACCATCCAGAGGATGTCGCAGGAACTGCGAACCCAGTGGCCAGAAGAAGACCTCCTTCGACGAGACCAGCTTCCGCAAGCCAGGGCCTCAGGGTTTTGGCATGAGAAAAAGGAGGATTCCGAAGATGAAGAAACCGACGGGGAGATGACCTCAGCGGCCGCTCTGATCGCCAATGGGATGAACGATGAGGGCATCGCACTGATGACCGCAGCAGTGGAGGCCGAAGAAGAGGCCATGACGGCACTGCATCAAGCAAAACGAACACTCCGGGAAGCACGAGCCAAACAACACCAGGTGAAACTCAGCCGACAATACTACAAGACCACCGAGAAGACCTACAAGGATGGGAAGCCTACCGGAGGAGCGGGAACCTCCGGAGTCAAATGCTTCCGATGTGGAGGCCCACACAAAGTGGCTCAGTGCCCTGACCGTCAGGCCCCAAGACGAGAACAGGCACATCAGGCCCAAGAAGAAGCCCCTTTTGTCTGCTTCTCAGACCACCACATGAAGGAGAATGAAGACGGCTACTTCACAGCCGATGAAGGAGTAGATGACTGGGACTATGAGGTAAAGAACCACGAGGGTGACCTTCAGGAGATCGAGAAGAGCACCACAACGGGGGATGACACGGAGATCCACCAGCAGTCAAGCTGGTACACCGAAGAGGCCTACGCCACAGAAGACGCAGGCCGCAACCGACAGAAAACAACAGAGGAGGCGATTCAGATGGGCTACGGCATCATCGACGGCGGAGCGACACGAACTCTAGCCTCAGTACATGCACTGGAGGCCATGGTGAATGAGAATCTCCGCAAACATCAGGACGGTCGAGTCCTGGAGGTGGACACTGACAATCAGCCCCTTTTTGGCTTCGGCAATAGTAGCCGAGAGAAGTGTTTGAGCACGGCCAAGATGAAGATTGTGGCCAACCAGAAAGATGGAGTGCTGACCGTGCACACCTTAGACAAGGGAGTCGGACCGATGCTCCTGTCCATCGCCACTCTGAGAGCACTGAAGGCGGTAATAGATTTTGAAGAAGACCTGATTTGTTTCCGGGCAATAGACCCGGATCGGGTCATCCAACTTGAACGCTCCCAGGCAGGACACCAGCTCCTGTCCATGACGGATGATCTGTACAAAGAAGCTGTTCCATGCACCAAACCGGTGCCCAGCTTGCGAGCATTTTGCCGCTAGGGACAGCTCCTCCCGACCTTGCCGCCTGACGAGGAAAGGGAGGAGGCCGTAGCAGATCAGTAAGTGGAATGAGTAGGGATTCAGCTCAAGGTGACAACCAAGGTGAGAAGTGTGGTGTTTTGACTGTGGATTGTTTTTGTAGTAGGGAAGAAGCCGGAACGGAAAGGGTGAACAACACACAAACATGCACTTGCACACAGCAGCTCGGCAGCCGCCACAAAGATCAAGAGTGTGAGCTAGTACGTGCTTTTCGTCCTGAGCTTAGAGTCAGTTTTAGTGACCATGCCGACCATCCAGAGTTTGAAGAAGGCCGAACTCATCGAGGCGATCCGTGCTCTGGGGGAGGAACCACCAGCAAAATGGGGAATGACAGAACTCCGGGTCCGCTTAGAGGAACTGGAGGAGGAACACGGCATAGTCCGCCAGACAGGACGCAGCCGCACCAACCTTCAGGAGTGGACCGTGAAGTTGAACAAAGCCGGAACCAAGAAGAGTGTCCTGGTGGAGTTTTGCCAGAAAGAACTCCTGATACCCCTGAGTGGAAACGAAACCATCCCCCAGTTGAACAAGAAGGCCATGGACCGCATCTACCAGATTGCCGAACTGAGCGGACAGGACCCGATGGGCTTCGGCAAGTATGCCAGCCTCTCTTACGACGAGGTGATGACCACCGACCTCGGCTACTGCAATTGGGCCCTGACCACCTTCCACGAGGAGGACAAAGGGGACCGGCTGTCGAGGTTTGCTCGATGGTTCGAACAGGCCAAGGAACAGAGTCCAAAACCCAAGAAGATGCCACCACCGGGACCGGTGGAGACCAAGACCAAGGGGTACCCCAAGACGAAGGCTGCCCCGAAGAAGATCTTGCTCACCGAGTCAGCGGCATCCAGCGGCACGCCAGAACAAGTGACCGAGACACCAGTGTTGACTCAGATCATGAGTGCCCTGACCGACTTGAAGGACGAGGTGGAGGCACTGAAAGAGGAACGACCCCACAAGAAAAAGGAGACCAACAGCGAGGACTTCTGCATGGTGAGAGAGCCAATGCCTTAGAAGTCTCAACCTTAGACAATAGATCTGAGGAGACAATTCAGATTGCCTCACAGTCCATGAGTCACTTTATGGAGAAGGAATCTAGGTGTTTGGGTCCGAGGGCTCTGAAACAGTTGGTTGGTAGGCGCACTGTTTTGATTGAGGTTGCTTGTTCCCCCGAGAGCCGGTTAACTAGCATAATACAAAAGTTGATTGGACATGAGGACGCGGCCATTAGGTGTTCGCATTGGAACGGATGTGACCTGGGTACCCAAGCTGGTGTGGACATGATTTTAAACACGATAGACACCCACAGGCCGGAACATGTTTGGATTTCCCCCAACTGCGGACCTTATTCGCCACTCCAGTCTATAAACCAAAGGTCAGAAGCTCAGATCGCACAGCTCGCCGAAAAACGACGTGTGGCACTGCAGCAATACACCGGAGCTAAATGCGTGTATGAGTACTGTATCCAACATGGCATCCATGTGACCTGGGAGTGGTCCCAGAAGTGTCAGGGTTGGAGGCTCCCAATCATGCAGGACTTGCAACAAAGACACGTCTTAGGAACTTGTGTGACCCAGGGTTGTAGGGTTGGTCTGAGGTGTCCCAAAACCCAAGATTTGATCCACAAGGGATGGAAACTCCTTTCCACGGACCGAAGACTTTTGGAGGGGATGAACATGCCATGTCGATGCGGTGCGAATTATCGTCACGGTCGATGCGAAGGGGGCATGGCGGGCGTATCGGCTTATTATACCATGGAATATGTGAAACGTGTTGCGGAGTTTTTGATTTTGGAACATGATCATCACAGTTTACAACAAGAACTTGGGGGAAAAGACTCCTTACCCATCCAATTTGGACATGGACCTGTTTGTGTGTGCACGCATGTGAAACATCATGGGTCGAAACTCGAATGTGGATGTTGTTCGTTGGAGCGTAGGAAAAAGGAAAAACTCATGATTGAGGATCTCAAACATGAAGCGTATGGGACCCAACCTTCTCGTGATTCCCTCACCGATGACCAGATTCAGAAACAACTGTACTTGTTACATGCTGCGACAGGTCATGGGAGCACCAGATCCTTGGTGCAAGCGTTGCAGCGAAGGGGTGCCGGTGACCGGGTGGTGGAGCTGGCCAAACAATTTCGGTGTTCCTTGTGTGAAGAACGACAGACAAGGAAACCTCATCGTGTCGCCAGCCTGGAACCCTTACCCCCAAAATTTTGTGTGGTGAGTGTGGATGAAGGGAAGTGGTCCCATCCTGTGACCCACGAAGAATATGTTTTCCTTTTGGCTATCGACGAAGGAAGTCGATTTCGTGTCGGAAAGATCATCAAGAGTGGAAAACACCAAACCGTGGCCGCAGCACATTTTGTGCAGTTTTTTCAAGAACATTGGATTCCCTATTTTGGGACTCCACAGGTCCTCAGACTCGATCCCTCAGGTGCGTTTAGAAGCCATGCAGTAGAGCAATTCTGTGACCAACAGGATATTTACCTCGAAGTGATTGCCGGCGAAGCTCACTGGCAGTTGGGGGTGTGCGAACAGGCCATTGGAGGCACAAAAGCCATCATGACCAAATTGGTCGATGTTGATCCGGAGTTGCCACCAGAACAGGCCTTGAGTGAAGCTCTACGTACATGCAACCACAGGGAAATGTTTCAAGGGTTCTCTCCGGTTCAACATGTCCTAGGGAAAGCACCGGATGAAACAGGGCGCTTCATACACAGTCTGACAGGGAATCTACATGAACAGTTGTTAGCAAACCCGTCAACAGACTTCCGAAGCAGCATCGAACACATGAAACAAGCTGAGCAAGCACTCTCCGAATGGCAAGCAAAACAACGCATCCAGAGGGCCGTCAACTCCCGAGCCCAAAGAGAATACCATTACCGACCAGGAGACTTAGTCTACTTTTGGAGGAAGCAGATCAAACAACCCGGTATTGGCAAGAACGGAGCGTTCCTAGGACCAGCCCGAATTTTATGCACCGAGACCCGAAGGGAACCAGATGGACAGCTCCGACCAGGTTCTGCAATATGGTGTGTGAGGGGACGACGACTTTTAAAGTGCAGTCCAGAACAGTTGAGACCAGCATCTCATCTCGAAGAACTCCTTGAACATTTGACCACCGATGACGACAAGAAAGCACCATGGACTTTTCCGAGAATCACCCAGGAGCTGGGAGGAAATGAGTATGAGGACATTTCTAAGGAAATACCCGACCTGGAGGAGTGGCACCGAGCTCAGGACACCGACATGCAGCCAACAGCACCAGCCGGATTACCACCTCCCCGGGTTCGACGCAATCAGAAGCGACCGGTGAGTCCAGGACCAGATCCATCCCGGTCACCATTCGAACGACCAGGAGGTGAGGCCAAGGCCAGCCGTACACAGAACCCAGACACTGACCAAGACATGGACAGTGCGTTACAAACCAGCTGGTGGAACCAGGTGGAAGAGCACTACAAGAAAACCAACACGCAAGGTGAGGAATATTGGTCAGAACAAGATGCATCAATTGAGATCGAGATCACCTTCCCAGAGTCCAGACGGGGTAAACAAGAGGCTTTAGCAGATATGACAGGTTACATTGCTACACAGTTGAAACGCCGGGCTGTAGAAGTTGTAGAGAAGCACTTGACACCAGCCGAACGACAACAGTTTCAGGAAGCAAAGGGTGTTGAGGTCACAAACTACACAGCAGCACGGGCTTTCGAGGCATTACCTGAACACCTTCGACCTCCAGCAGAACAGGCCATCGGAATGAGATGGATTCTTACTTGGAAGTTGAAGGACGATGGCACCTACAAAGCAAAAGCTAGAGCTATCTTGAAGGGTTATCAAGACCCAGGATATGAGCACAGGGCTACAACGACACCAGTGATGACAAGACAAACCCGACAAATACTGTTACACCTGGCAGCACAAAACAGATGGACAGTGAAGAAGGGGGACGTCTCAGGGGCCTTCCTACAGGGAAGGGAGTATCCTACTCCCCTCTACTGTATACCCTGCAAGGAGATTACCGACGCCATGGGGTTGCAAGAAGGTGAGATCGTACAAATCAAAAGAGGATGCTACGGGTTGGTTGATGCCCCACTAGAGTGGTATAGAAGTGTTTCGGAAACATTCGGAACGCTAGGACTCACCAAGTCGTGGGCAGACCCATGCTGCTGGCTGTGGAAACCAAACGGCGTACTGCGAGGAATGATCGCAGGTCATGTCGATGATTTTTTATTTACAGGGTCCAAAGATGACAAAGAGTGGCTAGCGATAGAGCAGGCCATCCAGACAAAATACAAATGGGGAACTTGGGAGAGTGGCAAATTTGTACAGTGTGGTGTGACTATAGAAGAAACACCACAAGGGGGTTTTGCGCTTTCCCAACCACAATATTTAGATAAGGTCAGTGAATTGAATTTGAATGCCACACGAAGGAGAGAAAAGAATCTCCCTACGACCGATTTCGAGAAGACAAAGCTCCGAGGAATCCTGGGAGCATTGAGTTGGCATGCGCAGCAAGTGGCACCACATTTTTTCGGCAGAAGTTGGACTGATGCTATCTGAGATAAGCACCAGCACAGTGGAAACGATCTGCCGGGTGAACCACTTGTTACAGAAAGCGAAGCCCAGGAAGGATAATAAATTGTTGATCCATGCCTTTCCCGAAAACACCAAGACTGGACTTTTCGTGTGGGCCGACGCGTCAGGTCAAAACCGTCCGGATGGGGGCAGCACTCAGGGCATCTTCATAGGAATTGCACCTTTAGGATTGTTGCAAGGGAAGATGGAGTGTGTTTCTCCAATTGGTTGGCATGCTAGTAAGATAGATAGAGTGACACGCAGTCCTGGAGCTGCGGAGGCTAAAGCTGTGGTCACGGGGGAAGACTTACTGTTTCATGCTCGATTCCAGTTGGGGGAAACTTTAGGGGAAACGGATGTTTTTGACATTGATGCCACGGTGAATCGTGTCGACGGCTGTTTGATCTCCGATTCGAGAAACGTGTTCGATAAGCTGATGACCGAAGAGTTAAGTACCAAAGGAGCCGAACGGAGAACTGACCTTGAGTTGTTGTGCGTCAAGTCCGCACAGCGACGTAACCATGTCATACTAAGGTGGGTTCACTCAGAAGCCCAACTGGGCAATGCATTGACTAAGGGCGGTGCTAAGGAACTAGAACTTTTTTACCGAGGAGGCCAACAGTGGAAGATCGTCAGCGACCAGCAAATGCAGTCAGCACGCAAGCGACGACAGAACGGACAACATCCCCTGGATGAACCGGTGGAAACCCGAAAGATAGAAGAAGAAAAGAGCTGAATCCCAGGAAATTTTAAGCCTTGAAAGTAGGTGGCATGCAAGTGATGCATGTCATACACGTACAACAAGTGCGTGACACGTGAGTTGGGGTTCGAGGGTGAGAAAGCTTTTAGATTCCTGTCGGTCGCGCTGCCACCGCAATTTCGATCCGGCACTTCATCCAGACCTCCATCTAGGGCACGTCGAGGCTACCATTGCTACCACTCGCATATTATATATTCCATACATGGAGTGTATGCGCCAGGGGCCCCACAAACCATCAAAAACCTGGTTTTCCCTATCAAACAAACTGGTTTTGGCATGTGAAAACCGTTATTTTTCATGGTTTTGAGGGCCCCTGGTGGGTATGATTTTTTCCGAACTGGGTCAATCCTGTCACCTGGGGAATATTTTTCCCAGATTCCTTTGAAGCAAATCCAAGGGACGGAGGGTGGTTGGAAGACACTCCCTGCCTGGTTCTTCAATCCGTGACCGAAGTTGATCCCTGGTTGGAAAAGGTCACAAACAGGAAAAGCTCATTGGATGGACTCCAAGAAGATCACGAACTGAAGAAGCATCACAATTGTAGGATAAATATGCCAGTCCCATGTAGTGTTTGGGGCATATGGACACAAATCAGGATTTCAGGAGTTGATTGCCAGTTCACGCTCGTTGCTTCAGACCCACCACAATATATATATATAGACCAGGAGTCA